CTGTTTTTCTTCTCACCAGTCAAATGATTTTTATGGAGGTGAACTTGAAAATTGGCAGATTTATTAGATCTGTGTATACGGTTGCCTTGTTTTACAGTCCCCCAGGAAAAAGAGAAGAAGAAAAAAACCTGATATCTGATATACAAGGATGAAAACTGCTAATGCACTTTCAATATTTTATGTGCATTTCTCGTTGGTTGTGTTTTAATAAGCTGTTTCGGGGCCTGGGACTTGCCACAAACCTCAAGAATTTGCGGGCATATTATCATTTTATGGCTGATCCTCACCACTTGTAAATTCTCATTGTCTTGTAATAAAAGAAAAAAGGAAAACATTTGATAAATCACTCATTTCTCCGTCTCTTCTGAAGGGTGCAGAATCTCTGCACTAAAGCGTTTTATGAAAGAGGCTTAGTCAGTTTTTTTTTCTTTTCTGAATATGAGTATGTGGATACAAATAATTTTTCATCAAAAACCTGGAAAGCATTTCGTCTTGTTGTTCAGCACCACCATGCACCGATTATGCCGTGTCGAGCTGGAAAGCAGCCAACGCTTTCTAACTTTCGTGCGCGTGCCCTGGCCTTCCACAACTCTGATTAATTTTCTTTCAGTTGCCTCGGCCAAAAAATGACTGAATAAACTTGATTTTTGGATTTCGTCCCTGTTGTGTCGTGCAGGCGGATGTGCAAATTAGCCTGCTGCCTCTCGGGCCTGGACTCTATTATCCTCGCCCATGGGGGTTCTTTATAGTTGTCGGGGGGGTAGTGTTTGAAAGCGCGGCTTGTTTTAATACAAGAGTGCAGCCTTGTGGAATGTGAGGAATTTTGTCATTTATTTTCATCTGCTGTTGAAAATTAGAACTTGGGAGCATTGGAGGCATGTGATTTCAATTAGAGGAGCTGTAAAGACCTGAAGACATGGAGTGGTCAGACAGGCTGGTGTCCTCGGAGCACCGTGCTGTGTCTGGACATGCTCCACTCCACCCGCAGGTGAACAGAATCACTGTTTTCCTCTGTGTAAAAGTTTTGGATTCGATGTACGATTCCATCCATGCTGTCGGCTTTACTTTGTAAGAACCTTTTGTGCTCTCGGTTTAATTTCTTTTCCTTCGTCTGTGAGACTGTCCTGTAGTTGTCCTGTCCTTTTAGAACTCTTTTGTGGGCTGTGAGGGATGTGAGGGCCCCAAAATCTGCTCCAGGACCGTGTGTGCTGCTTGTTACAAAAGATAGTTGTTTTTTTTGGTTTGTTCATGTTTCTTTATGGACGTCCTTCATATTTAAAGTGCCTCAAATATTCCTGAGTAGCACACACGCTCTCCTCAACCAGGACACACCCCTGCCCAGACCTAGAGCCTCGCGGTGATTAATGAGTCGTTTTTGTCCGCGGAGGTCTAGAGCTCAAGGAGCTGCTGACAGCGGGCCTGAAGTGCTCGGCGGCTGCAGCCAGAGGAGCGCCTGTCATTTCGATGATGTGCGGTTTCTCTTTTTTTCCCTATTTGTCGAAGCAACTCTGCCTCCCTTCTGAATCATAACTGACCTCTGTCCAGCTCGTGACACAGTGCTTTACGAGCCTGCACAGGGGTTAGGATCAGAAATACTCTAAATGAGCAGCAGTTTTTTTCCCACCTTTTTACTACCCAAAGCAGCTCTATTTCACCAGCAGGAACTATGGCATGTTTTTACATTTTAAAAGTGTGTAACCTTGAGCCTTTTTTTTGGGGGGAACGGTCCTTTAGACCAAACCAAGTGCATTTTATTCCTGAATTTAAGTGCAGACTGAGTCATATTAAAAGTTGACCGGTAGACAGGGTTCTTTGGATTTGGCGTGATTTGATGTTGAAACGGGACGCAGATCAGCTGATGACCATGTTTTGGTGACTCAGCGCTCCTGGCTCTAGTGTGTCCTCATGCTGCTTCATTCAGATTATCGTTTCTAACCCCAGAGAGGGCTCCTGATGTTTTAATGGTGCTGAGCAAAAGTTCAGTGTCACAAATTCTGATACAGAAATGTCACAAAGCGTCTTGGTATGAGAGTTTTTTTTTTTTTATGGTGCATCAACCGCAGTGATTTTACTCGGTTTCATGGCGACAAAACGACTACATGATGTGTTTGAATGAGAGCTATCCCAGAGCCTTAGGCTCCGCACACAGTCCTGACTGTTTTTTCTTTTGTTCTTTGAAATATAATTATAGAAACGGTAACAAAAAAAGTTAAACTTCAGATTAGGAATTGTTATTTGTATCGACTGCATAAACAACTATTCTGTACAGGTCCATTTATCGTGTTAGTTATAACCCACAAGTTTCTGTCTCTCACTCGCTTGTTGTGAGACCATTTTCCTGAGGCTGATAAGTAGAAAGTGCGTCCTAGCTGTCAAAAAGTGAGTAAGGGTTTAAGATAACATAGGAATGAAATTACTGGGTCAGATAATGCATTTGTGACAAAGTGCATATTGTGAAAGAGGCCCAAACATGGTGCTTTTGGCATGATAAGCCGGGGAAATTTTTCTGTAATTAGATAAAATTCCCTTTTTATTCGCGCTCAAGATTGCTAAATAAGAATGTTGCGGCTATATATCAACTCCTAAATACACAGTGTGCTAGCGCTCATGTTTGAATGAATTATTAGTTCTATTTTAAGCCGCAGAGTTTTGTAAGCCATATGGAGTCCTGTGGGAATCTGTGAGGGAGTTGATTCGGTGGCAAAGCTTTCAGGGGTCAGCCCTGCAAATCTGTGGAGCTAAATGGGAAGTTCACTACACCTGCTAAAGATTAGTATCCATCTGCTTCTCTCAGAACTTACCACATGCTGTACTCATGCACGGCCTCCCAGGGGACATTACATTATATACTGACCTGTGCTACACTTCTGAATATACATAACAAGGCTGCTCCTCTTGGTTTAAGCCGAGTTAGATTACAGTGTCACAGGACTGTATTTTAAATTGATCTCGGTGAGTGTTTCTGGCGTGAATCGATACGCTTGAGTCATCCTATATACACCTTAACCTTAGCTGAATTTTCCCGGTTTCCGTCATTGGATCAGCATTTTTACATTTGCCCTGAAAATGTGTGGAGAAATACAACAAAGAGTTTTCCTGAGCAAATCAAACATTTTCTGGCCGTTGCTCCTTGGTGATGTCAGCCCTTCGGTGTCACAGTTATATTTGGGATTGAAAAATAAAGAATGAAGACACTTCTGCTTGTGGTTATGATAATTCAGACTCTTGGGATCTGTTTTGTATTTTTCCCTCGTTTCAGTCAATGGATCGCATTCCTTCTTCCACTTCTTGACACGCACAGTAACGGAAGGATGTTTTAATTACCAGTATTATTGAATATGAATAGAAGAATGTATGTAAAAGTGACTTCATTTAAAGTTGTTGGGCAGATAAAAAGGACCTTGATTGTTCTCTGTGTTAAGTTGATGACTCAAAATGTGAGTTCATTTCAGTGGTATTTGTTGGGAAGTTGCTTTTTAAATAGAACGGTGTAGCTTCACCTTAGCTTGATACTCTGAACTTCATCACAAATTGATTAGAGTGCTTTAGAAGCATTATTATTTTTGCAGAACCTATGTAAGTGTGTGTTTTTAAGCAGGCTAATAACCTTGTGAAATGTAAGTGGATGCGACTAGAAATAGTCGTGATTAAATGTTTCCGTCCATTTCATGTGAGATTTACACTGTAAGCCGCTCTGCGATTTGATATTTCCTCTCACCTCCCCGACATTGATGATACATGGAAAATTATATAATTTTAGAGCAGAAAAAAAGCAACTGACAGTCCTGTCATTGTTAATAATGGGTTTGCCATATTTGAAAACCTTGTGGTTTAACGCGCTTCTTTACCAGCTGACACATTGCCTGGCATTCTAGTTCCTTTTTAAGGTCCTAAATAGGATTTTAGCATCTAGACTCAGAAGCTGGAGACAAGGTAAAATCAGTTTGCCTCACAAGAATGTGGATTACTTTTAATAAAAACATTATTTTTTAAATCTGCTGGTAGTAGCTCAGACCCAGACTGTTATGGCATCTGTCAAATAATGTAATCCATATATTTCTATATCAATCGTCTTTTTACGTACCAACTTGCATGCTTGTTTCTGAATTTCGATTAATTAATTAATACATGTCTTTTGTTTATGTCTGTTTTCTAACCAAAACAAGATCGTACCCTCATTCAGTGCTCAATGTCATTAGACGGGCAGTTGTGACGGTGTTAATGTTCCATGTAAATGTGCACGTCTGTGCGAACGGGATAACAAAATCTCTCGACGTCGATGCTTTAAGGTCTCTAAACTTTGCAGACTGTCGGCCACAGGTGTGCTGGATTTAATGCTTTGCTAGGTTGACTGAACATCCTGCTGTTTGTGGACATGCTTCACTGAACACAGATGCAGTTTTTCTTGTTAAAATAAAGACCGAGCTGCATGATGTCAGCACCTCAGCAGCGAAGCTCCCTCTGTGGGCAGAGATCATGAATGCAGACGTATGGGGAAACTGGAAATACTGTTTATCAATGTAATGAGGATTTCAGCGTTATGAGGGTGTTGTTTTATTTTCTATCATATGCTCTTCAGGTTAAAATCTAGGTAACGTCTTTGCTGCAGCGGTTTGTTCCTTATTGACCATATAGACGTGTTTGGTTGGACGGTGCTTGGTCCTGTTTGTTGTTAGAATACATCTATTTGACTGGAATACAAATCAGTCTGGTATTTTTCTAGATCAAATTTGGCCATGGTCCGTCTATTTAATTCAAACAAACTAACGGCACAAAGCTCAAACGATGCATTAGTCAAGGTCCATCCATTGTCAGATGGAGTGTTGGAGGGTACCTGAGAGGAACCCACACAGACATTGGGACAACAGGCAAAGTCCAGGCAGAAAGGCCCCCGTCCTCTGTGACTATCAGCCATCATCTTGACTTTAATGATAAGCTTAATAGTTTACTAACCACTGAGTGACCAGTGTCTGTTTTTTTTGTGTTTTTTTTGTCGACAGGTTCTGGAGAAGGATGTGGAAAGATCATTCAACGGTTCCCCAAGAAAGACTGGGAGGGCACAGCCTTTCCTCAGGGGGTGGAGATGGTGAGTGATAAGGAGTTCCTACAGTTACTAAAATTGAATGAAACCAAACAGAGAACGCGATCAAAACGGAAACTGGAACGCGCCGGGTAGAGGGACAGAATTCCTGTTGACATGTGGTTATGCTTTGGTGGTTTAGGATTCAGGCCTGATTTGCCTCGACAAAACCAGAAGAAGTTTTTTTTTTTTTTTTTAATTAAATATCAGGCGACAAAACAGTGCCTGTTCACACTTTGAGAGTGTATGCTCAGGTTTTCGGACAAATTGAGACCATGTGAGAGTTGAATAACTGTTTAAAAAAAATATTTTAATAAAAAATAATCCTTTCTGTTTTCCCTCTAGGTTGATGTGAATAATTTTCCCTTTTCTGTTTTCTCAGTTTTGGATTGTGTGATGCGATGCATTGAATCAGAAATATGAAATCTGAACTTTGAATGAAAGGCTGGTGTCACAGTGGTCGTATTGTTTCCTAGTCGACTTCCTAATTAGATTAAATGAAATGATGACAATTTTGCCAGATTAAAACACATATTTTCTCTCTCTAAATGACTGATTACAACCTGGGACATTTCATGTTTTCAACAACCCCCCACATTCTTGTGCAGCAGATATTGGCATTTCCTGTTCCAGTGAAATTCATGATTGTTTACATAAGCTTTTTTTTCATCCCCTGCCACGGTCACTAATTAGACATCCCTCTGCTCTTACAACCCTTTTCCACGTCCCACTCAGCACACTGCGGGGTTTGCGCTTGTTTGTGTCCTCCTTTTCTTTTGATTTTGTGTAACTTTAAGGGGAGAGCTGCTTCTTGCAGCTTCATGTCTCCCTTTGAGTTGGAGGACTCTAAGGGGTCTTTGACAGGAGGTCTGTTGTCCTTGCCTAAAAACGAAAGATAGAGAAATACTTTCCTATCGGGGCTGGAAAACACTGCGAGTCTCAAGGGTAGCATTAGCAGTTAGCCCAGGCCACTGGTGCATGCGTTAGATCTGCTTTTGCTCAGTTCTACTCGCCACCACTGATAATCTTTTAATGATTTGGCAGTGTGGTTCGGCTGTTCACAAGGCCAGAAACAGAAAGCTGACTTTGCATCCCCACATGACACTTTGCACAGAACTATATGGCCTAATGAGTTGTTAAAGGAATATTCTAAAATGAAGACTTAGACTGAATTTTTAATTTGAACCTTGACCTCACAATCGGCTCAGAAATCTGGTGATAGGTAAAGAGCAAACTTTATCTCTTAATGAAGCAAACAACACACAAGACAGCTTGTGGGCACTTCAACCCATCCTGTAAGCCTTGTTTTGCTCTTCATATTTAGTTTGGTACCTTAACTGATTAACAGATTTGTAGCTGAAGTTAGGGACAGCCACAGCTTCTATGTGTGGTCAGCTTCACTTGAACGGGCACAAAACCTGATTTTCATTCTAGCTCATTTTCTTACTCTCCCTTCTTTTTCAGCTCAGAGTGCATTTTTTTTGTTTACAATTCTTTTTGTTGGTACACACATTGACAATTACAGTTCTTAAAAAAAAAAAAAGAGTCTGAAGAGCTAATTGGACAAAAATATGCTGAAAAACAAAGCATTTGGTTATCAGATCATTGTAATTTTAAGTTATTTAAAAGAAAAAAGTGGATATTTCCCTGTGCTTCCAATTAAACATATCATACATTAAACATATTATACATTCTGTTATGTATCAATAACGCTATTGTGCGCTCACCAGATATGACTAGGCGAAAATGATTCACCCTTAAAAAGAAGGCGAGAAAACAAAAAACATGTTTTCTCCCTTTGTTCAGTTCTTTTCCATGGAAGATTTCTTAAATCCGTTTTACTTGGAGTGTTTAGTGTTCGGTTGAGGCTGTAGCAAGCCAGACATTTGCAACTCTGCTTAAAAATTTTTGGAAGCAAATGATTCAAAGCAACAGCAAGTGTGGAGGCCAGTAAGTTGCATAATATGAGTCAAATGTCTGCGCCAAGGTGAATTTAGAGAACCAATACTGAAATCAAGTGTTCTTCGGAAAAGCTTGCGGTTACGCGATCTAATTCCTTTAAGTTCATTAAACAAAATAATTTCAGAATGTTTTTCAGATGACCTATGAAAGCAGATTTGTTTGGCCATATTTGGCCCTCCATTGTTCTGAAAAGATGGCCAAAAGTTGAAACCCGCTGCCACGGCTCTGTGTTGAGTCAAAAAGAGGCTCTATTATTCCCCAAATCTTGTTGACGCAGCGGTATTTCTAAGACCGACCGGAGACAAGAGGGCCGCTTATTCCGGCACAATTAGCCATATTGTGAGTGGCTCGTTTGAATGGCATGTGCTTGTCTTCCTGTGTTACTCACTGGGTCTGTTGGTGGCCGTCAAGAATGTCTTGTTGTGAGTAGGTGCTCGGAAACGAGCTGCGCTGCATCATACTGCAGATGATTGCCCTCCTCAAGCATTTCTGTGACACGTAAAGTTAGGACGATTTAGGGATTAAAGGCAGATCTCTTAAGTCATTTTTGATGCTGGATCTGTTTTAGATAAGGTCAAACCCTTTCTCTCTCTCTCTCTCTCTTTTTTTATTTATTTATTTTTTTAGTGACCAGAGTGGCGCCATTTGTTCAGCATCATCCCTCAAGTATCCTGTCATGGTTCCCCTCTAAATATAGATACACTGCAACAAATTTAGCTAAATCTATTAGCCTAGTGTTTCCAGATGTCATTGAGGACCACTGCATACCATTTTGGGTGTGTGTGCATTTTTTTTTTTTGTACTCCCTCATGCTGAAGTGGTCCCAACAATGTTTCTTCATCATGTGTCAGCTTGGACTGAAATTGAGACGTACTGCGATCCCCGGCGTGCAGAGAAGGGCCGCGGGGACAGCCATTCTCCTCTACGCCAGTCGGTGCAGGGCCTTTTCAGTGCTATTTGGCAAATACATTTCTTTTTTTAAATTTTGTAAATTTTTTAAAACTGAAAATGACACAGCTTTCTCCAGAAAATGCGTAGAACCGCACAGCATTAAGTGTTATATTAAGGTAAAAAGCCCCCAGCGGGTTAAGCTCTGACAGGAAAGAGGAGGCTGCTCCACAATTTTGCTTTCCTTTCTATGTTGTGTGTGACAAGCTTTGGTCAAGAGCCAAATGACTGGAATTCCAACTTTGAAGCTTTAATGATGATACACCATAGTGTTTAAAAGACCCACTAAGCAATTTGCATTTTGGCTCCGTTGTGGGCTGGTATGTAAACCATTATTATGTGCAGATTTTCTGTCCTCCACCAAAAAAAAAGAAAACGACTCTTTTACAAACACATCTGTAGAAAACCGTGGATCAAGCTGAGCACGAAAAGCATTTTGCGGTCACAACAGGCCCCCAGCAAACTAAATAACCACAGATGAGGAATGCACCAAGAAAAAGCGTTTACAACTCGTGCTTGGGGAAATCTGTTTCTAATCTTTCCAGGCAAGTGATGATGATAGGAACCAGCCAAATCCTCATCTGTTATGGATGAGCCAGGTCTGGAGATGGAGGTCAGTGCGTTGTGCACCTAGTAAATTTCCATCACCTTGCCCTCCGGCATCAAGGCGGGGGCTGTTGGTATACTGTAAGTGGTCCGAGGTTCAGAATTCAGAGCCATGGTGGGGTCATTTTGGAGCTTTTGGCTTTCTAATCTCATGGTCTTGATAATTGAGTTGAATATATCGCTACAGTCATTAGCAGCTCCTTTTGCTGTGGACAGATTTTCATTGTATTTAGTTTTTTGCCAGTTTAGTCGTTCATATCTGAAAGCATTCCTCATTGATAGAAGCAACTTCTATGTAATCGTTTTCTCTCGTACTTCTTCTCAGACGCTCTCCTGTTAGTTTGACTCGCATCATATGACGCACAGAAGTAGGTTAACTATGGTTTACCAGTAAGACTAAACTGTGTCAAAGTGCTTCCCACTGACACACCGCCGACCTGAAAAAAGAAAAGGTCACGTGTGTGTAAGACTTGCTGTACCCGTGTTTGTGACGACTCATTTAGGTTCTTATGCCGCTCTCACACATGATAAAAGCACCATGCTTGAGGGTTGTTTTGTTGTCCCGGATAAAAGTTTAGAAAAAGCCTAGACAGATTCCTGACATCCATATCCTCTTCTGCAGCTGTTTCGTGTAACTTGTGTACAATGCGGGGGGCAGCGGCTGGAAATAGTAGTTGTAAAATGTTGTTTTTGATGGTCCTGAAGCGACTGTCTCAAGAGTCCGCTGTGTGGGGTCATTTTGACACTGCTGTCTGCCCATGTGTGGGAAAACAACACTACTGACTTGGGCGAGGAAAGCAGATGTGGCAAATATGATTCTAGCTGAGGTTGACAGCTTTTTAAAAATTGTTTATTTTATTTTAAGATGGGGGGCACTTACCCAGCTTGATCCCCCAGGCATCAGATAATCAATCACATTTTGCCTCCTCTGAACAATATTGATTGTTTTTTGTTTTTTTCCCCCCTTCTGCTTGTTCTCCCTTTATGGTTTACTGCCGCACAGTTTTTAAATGAGTTTAAAGAAATAAAAACCTTCATCCTTCGGCTTTCGCGTGAACACATGAATGCGAAAGAATGCCTGCATCCACTTTTCCTTTACTGTGTTTATCTGCTGAGTTTGCCTGTTTGATTACAAGCACCGTGTGTTTAACGCATGATGTATGTGGAAGCTCATAACATCCGCTGTTTGTAGACAACATATTTGCATCTCGTGTTGATTTGTAAGCTTTTGCCTCTCGGTCTGTTGTTGTCTTTTTTCGTCATGTTCTCTTGCAAGATAAATCGGCTGAATTCTATTTTTGTTAATCGTCTGTTTTTTAACGTTCCGTAAGTCTTAAAAGTCTTAAAAGATTCAAACTTTCAGCACGTTTCACAAGTCAGTTTAATTTATTTCAACTTTTTCAGTTGGTTTGTTTTTTAGATTTATCCTGTTTAAACTGTTTTCAATCCTCCTAGAAATGTGCATAATCACATTTAAATACACAAGCTCA